AAGATGAGGCTGGCACCTCCCTAAGGAATTCATGGTGTTGTGGCTGGCTGGCTGGCTTTGGGACCAGGGGTCAGTCTTGGGGGATTTTTGTCTTGAGGTGGGAGCTAATAAATGCAACAGAACTGTATTTGCATTGTCTCGTGGAGTTCTTTGGGCTGAACCTGACAGTAGGTGGCTACATTCTACATCATCTGAAGCTTCTAAGCTGTATTCAGGTTGCAGGACAAAGAAAGCCCATTCTTGATTATCTCTAAACAGACAGGTTACACTCAAGAAAATCAAGGTAATAGATTACTCTGCACATCAGGATAGTCTAGAAAGGGGGCAGGGGTGTCCACAGGATGAGGTGACAAAAGTTTAGATGGTGACCACAACTGTGTGATCAACTCCCATCCCTTTTACGTGACACTTGTAAAAAGGCATAGGGCTTTAATCCCGCTGTTGCAATCACCATATTGACTTTTTTCACCTCATCCTGTAGACCTCCCTGGGTGGTTGAGTGGCTTGTCAGTGTTTTAAAAAGCCATATGGGGAGCACAATGCCTTTGCATGTGCAACAACTGTAAAGCTTAACCATGGAAAGCAAACATGTGCATTAAAGCAATGAGAAATGGATGCATTGTGCTACACGTTTATTAGCACTGTAAGCCTCTCAAAGATAGTTCCCAACAATTGTTGCTGAATATGTTGTTATGTTTACCAGTTGGCCTCCTCTACTTATTGGATGCAGAATTGTTATTCCACAAGAAACAGGAGGCCCCTTATAGAGTGCAATGTGGTAGACCACCTTTGGGGTGACACTGAGGCATGACAGCCAGACCATGAGTCAGGTAGCAAAGAAATGTAATCTATAGGTTGCTCTAGAGATTTCTCCAGGTGGGAGCATGAGATGACCTTGGCTGACCTTGAAAATGCTAAGATGATGTCAATTATACTGAAAAATTTTTGGAAGAATCTTGTAACATATATCATCAGTAGATGAATGGGCAAAGGTTAAAGATGCCCATGTTATTTTGAATGAGATTCCAAAATTGGGGAATCTGACTGTTTTTGAGGAGTATTAGTTATATCCGGTGTGGGAAATAGTCAAGAGAATGTTATTGAGTTTGGAAAAGTATGGTTAGTCCAGCTATCAAAGATTGGTTTCAAGGAATGTATAATTTATCCATTTTTGAAAAGGCAATTTTTCCCCCCACTAATCATGACACCATATGTTTCCCTTTGACATAGATTTCACAACATTTTACAAGACTAGGAGAAAAAAGTATGCACAATTTGGTACATTGCTGTTCCATGATTATATGAATAAGTGATATATTTAGGTGACTTATATTGATTTATGATATTGATCTTTTGGGGTGTTTTTCTGTTCATTTTCTTGTTTTAGTCTTCAGTCACCCATCCAGTCTATCAGCACTGCAATGGGATATACACAGAAATATATAAATACCATGACCCTCCCTGTCCCATTTCTCTATCCATACAAGACAGATCTCTTTGAAAAAGCCTCTTCTAAGGAACCAATTATGCGTTAGGATAAATGTTTCCCAAGACTGACTTTAGCCCCATCATAGTTAAAAGAGAAGCCTCTTTTTTGCAACTTACGTCCACATGTGGGGCTGAACTTTGGATTCCAATAGGTTGCCCAAGGCCATCGACTAAGAAGGGTGCTAGGAACTTGGTTTCCCATGGTCCATTGGAAGATCCAACAGCGTTTGCCTCCTTGACCAGCAGGAAGGCCACGCTAAGCACCCAGAGAGTTTGCATAAGGCCCAGCCAGAAGATTTGCCTCGTCATCACAGAGAACGCTGTCTAGAGACAAGGATTGCACATCACGGCATCGGGAGCAACAATGTCAAAAAGGAGGAGACAGCAAATCCAACCACCAGGAAGTTTCACAAAGTCCAGCCGTTGGTGGAAATGAAGAAGTGAGCTCAGCAGAAAATTGGGGAATGTGTTACAACAACATCCCTCTGTAGGGAGAAAGAACCTGTGGAGAAACCAAAGGGAGAAAACTCAGGCTGGAAGAAAATAAAATAAAATAAAATAAAATAAAATAAAATAAAATAAAATAAAATAAAATAAAATAAAAATAAAATAAAATAAAATAAAATAAAATAAAATATGCAGATCTCTGCAGCTCAAGGTCTGGGCAATACGTCAAGGAGGATTCATCTCATCCTTAAAGGATAGCTTGGGTGGTTGAACCTTTTTCGGGTTCTTCCTCAAACAGCTTTCTCCAACCAGGGGAACCTCAACTTCCATAAACCCAACTTGGCGGGGGTCAAAATGCAGATGTGGGGAGCAGGTGACTACACTGAGTAACGGATTCTGGGAATTCAGCACATCTGGAGGACACCAGCATTGGAGAAGCTGATGCCGAAGAACAACAGACCTGATTCCATGCCACACTCATTTTTGGTTCCCCTCAGTTTTCCATTGTGAAAAATTCAGTAAGAATAATAAGGAACTCTGCTAGTATTATTTACTACTTGTACTACTAGTAGTAAAGTTTTCCACCAAATACTGCCATATTGAAAGGAAATGCTAGAATTCTTGTGTATCACTGAAACCTTATTCCCACTCGCTCTTATTAACTCATCCTCAAAGAAAATGGTTCCTTTGATGTTCTCCAGTCCTGATTGATCCTAAGCAGATCAGATCCTAGGATAGGTACAGAGAGGTTGGGCACACACAACACCAAGCTGCCCCAGACTGAAATGGGGCTGGATAGCTTCTGATTCCACATGTTTTGGGAACTAGTTCACCATGCAATTAATTTGTTTTGTTATACAGGGAGTTAAGATGCCTGGGTTACAGATGACCCATAGTTAAGAACGGAGTCTACTGTAGCAAAACTAAAGTTAAATACCCAACAATTCAAGTTAAATACACAATGGTTCAAGTTCATTACACAATACTACTTATATAGTATTATACAATAATACTGTTCCGGTTTATGTACAACTTTGACTTAAGGACGGATCTTGGGAACAGAACTCGTTCTTAAACTGGGGACTACCTGTACTGCCAAAGCAATTGTGCTTTGTTCATTCTGAGGACTAGCAAGTGGTGTGAACCTCACATTAGAGCTTTGAAAACATCTCAGTGGGCCTGCCATCTTCTTAACCCAGAGAGGGCAAACTTTTCAGACACAAGGCCTACTTACAGCGCTGGGCAGAAGATTTGTAGATATATATTTGCCTTTTCACTAATTGTTTTTTTATCACTAGGAAACACAATCAAGGGAAAAGGGGTGTGCATGTGTGTGTGACTACAAAGTAGCATACCAAACAGTATAAACACACCCAACAAAAAAGGAAGAAAAGGAACACTCCAACAATATATATACATTGCAATAGAGCTGTAAAAGCTATCTGTCTGTCTGTCTGTCATCTATTATCAATCATCTATATCTATCTATCTATCTATCTATCTATCATCCATTATCCATCTATCTATCTATACATCCATATACACACATACATGAGAGAGAGAGAGAGAGAGAGAGAGAGAAAGAGAGAGACAGAAAAGGGTAAAATTTTAGAAAGTAACAGCTGGTCATTGACCGAATAAAGATCTATTCTGTTCAGAAAGTAACAGGTGGCGGGTGGGTATTAAACTTATCCTTCCCATGTACAGTGAATATAATCGAGATACTTAAGAGCAATAATCAGAGTGGCCTAGCCCTACATTATATATTTAACCTAAAGGGCATTTTGACCTGATGACCTGACTGAAACAACACAGCAAGATCATAATGTCCATTGTGTAAACTCAGCTCAGCTATAATGCGAGTTGTATGAACCAAGCCACTGTAGCTTAGAAACCCTGGCTTATGGCTTTGAGTCTTCTGTAAACCTAATTAACAGTGGTCTATTTAACCAACTGTTGTTGAAACCTACAGTGTGTGAATTCATCTCAGCCTTTTCTCCATGTGTCCTGGGACTACAACCAGCCAGGTCAGCAAGAATCCTGGGAGTTGTAGTCCCAACATTCACCCACATGTGGGAGGCATGAAATTGGTGGACATTAATCCTGACCCCTTAAGAGGGTCTCATCGAAACCTTCTGCAAATCAGTTTCCACGTTCTCCAAATTTTGAAAGTGTACCTTATTGTTTTCTTCTTCATTGTTAGTGGAGGAAAATAAATAGCTACACAAAACTGGAGAAACCTGGAATGGGAGTAACAAAAACAGACAGACTTGCAGTGATATTTAACACACTCCCTCTTGCGCTGATATTAAGATAGCAAAAGGCCTTTAAGGAATTCCTTCACTCTCACCTACTTGGGAAGGTCCCAATAAGCTTTTTTTTTTTTTTAGGTGAGTATTTATTGTGAACAGCCTGTAAAACCAGCTGGACATGTTCTGAAATAACAGCCTCAGAAGAGATGAACATTTTTCTTCACTTTCTGGAGCTGGGTAATCAACCTGCCTGTTTTATGTCTTTTTTTTAAAGCAGGAAGTGCGAGGATGTCTCTTCAGTTACCCTGAAGTTCATTCATAAATCTCTCTCTTCCTCCCTTTGCATCAAACCTTTACACAATTCTTGCAAGCGCCAGCTTTCGAAAGATCTTAAACAAAGGGAATCCACAATCTCTCATCAAAGGACTCATGAACTCAGAGATCTTCCCATAGAATCCAGTCGGGATTCGATCTATACCCCACCCGGCTGGGGAGTGCCCATGGAAATCTAAGGCTGATTCCTAAATAATGTCCTTCCGTAGCCATAAGGGATGGAGTGTGACAGTAACCAACTGCTTAAGACACTCACAGAATGTGTAAGCGAAATGCAAAGAGGGCCATTAGCTTAATTGACTGGTGTGGGTGGGTTATAATGCTATTAAGGGGGGTATAATTCTATTAAGAGGCATAATCTAAAGGTACTTAATGACAGAAGTGTGCAGGGCTAGCTCGGGTTACTTTCTGGAGGGGGGCGCTGCCTGCAAACTTACTTAGAAAGTAAGTGATCCTTAGAAAGTCATATGTGGCCAAGCTTGGCTGCCTGATTAACATACAATGGAGCTAACATGAATTCTCACAAGCAGATGATCCGAGTTCACACAGCCCACGAAACCTGGACCCGTAAAACGCATGCGGCGTCAAAACACAGACCCGTATTGTGGCTTAACTTCAGGGCCTGGCTGACGAGCTGCGACCAGGGCTGGATTCGGGCACCCCCGTGACCTGCCCATTCTTTGAGCCTATGCTAGGCTAATCGGGCATGTTGTGTGAATCCAAGTACACCAGCCTGGCTGAAACCTGCTTGCGACAGACCAGAGAAAGTTGGGAGACCAGAGAAAGGGGGGGGGGGTCTAAAAAGCAGGACGCAAGCAAGCCTGTAACTGGCCCTGATCGTGGCACAGAGCCTCCATGTACAGTGGCAGCTAATATCTGGCTCCCAGATTTGAAAGCTCTTATTTATTGATGGATCTGCCGCATTTATATAGCCGCCCCTCTTGCACAAAGGGTGAGTCTTTGAGACGCCGGTGACCCGTGCACGAGTCTCACAGTTGGGCCAAGGATATATACCAGGAAAAGCACCCTAACTGGATGGTTTTTCTTTAATTATGTCGCTTAGGATCCATCTATTTATTCATGTTCATTTTATTTATTCGGTTTATACAGCCTGCCTCCCCCTAGTGTCCCCCTTGCCACCACCGTTTAAGGTGGGCCA